TTATATACATTTCATTATTAAAAAATATTCTACTATTAAATAAATCAAAATTTCTTGAACAACGTTTCTCAATATCCAAACATAAAATGTAACAAATTTTTCATAGTCCATTTCATATTGTACAAGAATTCAAGTAAAATTTACCTATAAAAAAATATTAAAATGAAAATTCACAATTAATTCATAAAATCTGGATTTCTCAACCACATCTAACTTGCTGTTATGGAATCATATTTCCAACTGAATGTTCTTTAGTTTCCCTTTTCATTTCAAATTCTAAACAACATGTAAGATGGAGGAAAGGGGTTGTTTTGAGGAAGAAGAGAAGGGAAGATTCATGAACACAAACCCAAAAAATGCATTAAGGTGAAGTTGCTGATATTTGTTCATGAACAAAAACCCAGATCTGGGTTTGTGTTCATGAAGACGTACAGACCCAGATCTCGGTTTGTGAAGCCAGATCGAGTTGGGTTCATCAACACAAACTCAGATCTGGGTTCACGATCATGAACCCAAAGAAAAAGATGGGAGGAGAGTGCAGAAAAAATCTGAGTAGGGGTGCGAAGTAGACACAAAAACAATGATAATAATAAAATAAAAGGAAAAAGGGAGGAAACAGTTGGAGGAGAGGGAGATAATGGAGAACAGTTACTGAAGTAATGGGGGTGAGGGAGATTAATGGAGGAGAACGGTTGCTAGAATAATGGAGGAGAGGGAAAAGTTAATTGCTACAGTTAAAAAGGAAGTTATGTGATATTAAGGGTCATTTATATGATATTATGAAGGTAATAAATATAATTATAGGGTTATAAACGGAGTTATATATTCGACTCTTCAAACGAAAAATTTAAAATTAGTGTGAATTACAGTAAAGAGTCGACTATATGAATTCAAATTCGACTCTTCTAGGCACTAGAGTCGACTATACCATAACAAGAGTCGACTTCCAAATTCCAGAGAGCAGCGAAACAATTTGATCCAGCACAGAGTCGACTCTTTACTGAAGAATCGACTCTTAACGATACATATTCGACTCTTAGTTACATAGAGTCGACTCTTCTTGCTGTAGGGAAGTAGACACTTCCACTCTCAAAGTTGACTATTCTTTTTTAGAGTCGACTGTTGTTCTTCAAAGAGTCGACTGTTGTTCTTCAAAGAGTCGACTGTTGTTCTTTAAAGAGTCTACTCTCAAAAGTTATAGTCGGCTCTTGGGCGCGGAATTTGATTAAAAGCGTGACAGTTCCAATTTTCCCCATTTTCCCTCTCTCTCCTATTCGACTCTCTGAGAAACCTAACCCTCAAAACAGCCAAAATCCTCCCAAATTTCACAAAAATAACTCACCCAAACACAAACCCACATCATTTTCGGCCCATTCCTCTAAGAATCGTGCATTATCTCCCAAAATGGTGAGGACTAAAAGAGTTGTAAAGAAACCAAGGGGCAGGCAGCAAGCACTTCTGGAAGGCGTCAAAGGGCTGAGCAAAGTCCTGAGGAGAGCGGTGAAAGCACAGACACCAAGCAGGTATTTCAACCCGATAACCCTCGAAACTTTGTATCTGCAAATGCTATGGATATATATAGAAATTTAGGAAATAGGAATGTCATTTATGGGTTTAGAGTAGTTTTGGAAGTTATATGCAAAGGGGGGCTGCATGTAAGAGAGATGTTAGATGCAATGTGATGGACTGAATTAGTAACTAGAAAGGTGAGGGTTTACCCGCAATTGATTAAGATTTTTTATGCAAATTTGAGTGACTCGGAGGATGGAGGGTATAAAACAACGGTTCTTAGGAAGACGTTTGAATTTGATGCTGAAACCATAAATGATGTTTTACATTTGCCAAATGAGGGAGCCAGGGAATTGCATGCATTTACAGAGGAATCAGCAAAGAAATCTATCATGGGGGATGAGTGGAATGAGGGACAAACATTAAGCATTCACCACTTGAATTTGGAGAATCGGTTAATGTTTTGGATTTACAATCACATAATTTTACCAAGGCAAGGTTCTTTTGGGAAATTTAGTGGTCCGGATTGTGTGTGGTTTGCATATATTCTTAGCCAAAGGCGGATCAATTTAGGACACCATATTATGAGACATATGGTGTATTATAGGGGTAGATGACACTCGCACTGGCGTATGGCACTCTGATCACGTTACTTATGGAAAATGCGGGTGTTGATTTGAGTGGTATGGAGTCCCGAGACTTATACCGTCACGAGCTTCTGAACGAGAGTTCACTGAACAAAATGGGGTATGTATTCAATG